ATATATATATGCATACGCACGCGGAATATATTCGCATTCACACACGCAAAACACACACACACACACACACACACACACACACGCGCGCGCGATACATAAATGCACATGCACATGCACGTTCACGCGCGGACAAATGCGCTTCGAATTTCGCAAGAGACAGACAGGAGGAGAGCTGTCGCGGGAGAAACGCTGGTCTCACTTTCCGAGAGTCAGCGATTTTCGAGCCGCTTTGTCGAAGCAGCTGGAGCAAAGCCGAGAATCGCGGAGCAGCCGATGAGAAGAGTCGCTATTTCTCAAAGATACATAACGATAAGGTAACGCGTAAGTTGAGGTCGCTCGTCGCTACTTGCTCGCGAAGGCTCCGCGATCCGCGAGCCTTTCGTGGTGCGCCAGCGGATCCAGGGGAAAACCTTGCTTTTCCCTCGGAAGGACCGTCACTCACCTCACCTGTACGCGTCACCTTCGCCGCCGCTGTTTCGTCCGCGAACTGCGCACCAACACGTCGCCGATCTTCTCGCGGAGCAACAGGTATTCTAGTCGCCACTCGAGCGACCAGGAATCTCTCGCGTCTCTCGCGAGCGGGCGGAGAGAGGACGGGAGAGATCGCAACTCTCTGGACTTTTCGTGAGGTGAGGCCAAGTGCGCGAGACTGTCCAAGGGGAATGCGTATACGGGGATCGTCGAAACTCTTTTCCTTCCTCGAGGTACCTCGAGGTTTCCGATACCACGAAGCCGAGAGCCGAACCGAGCTAAGCTGAACACGAAACTGTGCTGCCGATCTCTCGTGTTCCGTTCTCCTCCTCCTCCTCCTCCCTCCTCCCGCTGCCTCCTTCTCTTCTTCTTCCTCCACCTCCACCAGCGGGTTCTTCTCTCCTTCAGCGCCTCCTTCTACCTCGCGGTGCGCGGTGCGTTCGGTTCCCGTTCCGTTCTCCCTCTTCGTCGGCTTCGCGCCTCGGCGTCGACGTTCCCCGCAGGTGCGACAGAGCGAGGAGAAAGGACGACGGGGGCCAGCGCGCGGCGTACGCGCGAGGAGGGGAAAAGATCAACCGAAGTGAGCAAGGGAAAGATATCTCCCGACTACCACCTCTCTACAAACCGCGTCGCGCGTATTGTAAAAAGCGTATCGCCCGAGGCGTTACACCGCGAACCAGTAAAACTTGTCGTACGCCGGCATCGGTCGCGCGGCGACCGTCGATCGTAGTCGAGAGACCGAGCCGATCGCCGATCTCGGACATGCGGCGTGCGGCGCGAAAGTGCCGATGAAGAGGACTCTCGAACGGGGATGACGGGGAGCCGAACGTCACGACGCGCGCCCTCGCCGATGTTAACGAGATCACTAACGCTGCCGTCGGTCCGCAAGAATTCGAGGCCTGGCAGCTGCAAGCCGCCGGCCTGATCCTACCTCCCTCTCCTTCCCTCACCTTCCCTCTCGTGATTTTAACTTTTGGTCCCCTCGATATTCATCTATAATTTTCTATAGCTTTTTAAATTTACAGACGTATCTTGCGTAAGGACGCTCGAGGTATAACCGAACGTCGAAGAAATCAAGTCACAAGTCAACAATCAAATAAATAAAAGATGGAAACGCGATGAATTTCGAAGGGCGGTCCCGGTTTCTTTTTAATGGAAACTTCGCGTTATCCCGTCATCACTTTGAGCCGTTTTATTATCGGCGCCAGAGTCTCTTTCACGTATCGCAGCAGATCCTTGCACTTTTGTTCCGTGTCCGTGTCCTCGGAACTACCCCAAATGATCAGACCGTCGGCGCCGAGATTGAAGATCGTGTTGAACGCGTTCTCCGTGTCTTTCTGTGACAGACAAATTCCTTGAGATTGATAGAAACGGTCTCAGCCGAAATGTAAACATTTGGAGAAGTCTCGGGAGGACTTACCTCGCTTAGGAAATACTCTCTGCGGTCCTGATACTTGAACCAATAATAGGGAAGAGTTTGCTGTTTGCTGGGACTTTTCGCCGCCATACGTAGCGCCTCCGACACCCTACCCTTCACGAAACCCATCCGATCCTCCTCCCTAATCTCCTGCCTCAAGTACACGGAAGGCAAGTGTGCGTCCTCGAGCGTGAAAAGCCAAGACATTCTACGGGAAATTATTGCCCGCGATTAGCTCCGACGTTCCAGACGCCTCGCCGCCCCTTTATCACCTCGCGCGATTAGATAACGCGCCGCTCGCGAAACCGCTGCAGGTTCGCTCCGTCTTTTTTTTTTTTTTTTAGCACCCCGCACTGTCCTCGACATTGACCCATTTCGGTTCATATAAACACCGTAATCATGGATACGCGATCCGTAGACCCGCCTGATATCCGGGATGACGTCACTATCGTAAATCAGTCGGTGAATTAAGTGCCACGCTCGTAAATCTTTTTTTACCCGCCGGCGGCGAGAAGCGCGACACGCTAACGCGGCCTCGGTGTCAAGCTGCGAAGATCGCCTCGGCGAGATTAGTGCATTTCGTGTAACGACGCGTTTACACGAAGCAGTACGCGCCACTAAATTATACACACGCTATCGTCGTCTTATCGATCCTCGTCAGACATATTACTCACTCGTCGTTCTCCACCATGGCCTGGCGATTGCAGTGCGCGGTGCGTTGGCCAGGAGTCTGATTGAAGCAATGCGGATAGCCGTAATAGCCCCATGCGGCCCTAGGCCGAAGCTTCCTCGCCGCCTTCAGGGTCTCCTCCATGAATATCCTCCCGTGCTTCTCGAAACGACGCTTCGCCTCCTTCTTAATGGCCGCGTCACTCCAATTCGGATGTTTCTTATGTTCCAGTTTTATGGATACGGTTTTGTAAGGCTCGAGGGAGGCCCAATTTTGCCGAAAGATCGGCCGCCAACTTTCAAAGTCTATTATGCCGATGCCGCTGAATGACCCGTCGGGGATTTGCTTGATCAAATCCTTCCGGAATACCTCGAGATGTTTTGTTAGATCGCCCTCCTGAGGGACACCGCCGTTCCTCTTTGTCACGACACCTGGAAATATAAATCCGGCAAATAAGTAACTTAAAATTTTTTTTTAGTAAATATCTAAAGATATGTCTGTGTTTGTCATCAAAAATCATTGGTTCTTAAAAAAAATTTTAAGAATATATATCTTTATAATTGCCTTTAAACAATTTTTTGGTGACAAAGCACATTTTCGACTTACCAGCCCGATCGGTCAGTAACGCCGGGAACATTCCGGGATCATAAAGAATTGCGATCTGTTCACCACGAAATTTGTCCATTGCATTTTGACGAATTCCAAAATCCTTGAGATTCTCGAATGTCACGTTGTACTTGTGGCACAGGAAACTGGGTACGTTCCAATAAACGTCGAATTGCCGCGAATCGCTTGGCTTGGGGGTCGTTGTGCCGAAGCTGGACAGAAACACGAGGTGATTCGTAAGCGTGGACAATGACACTCATTAGATAAGATATTTTCGGGCCACCGGATCCTCTCTCGGACCCCACGCGTTTATGGGACTTCTAAGACTTGATTAGCAACCCCCGCACTAATAATAAATTAATAATACATTTCGTCTAATAAGATAGATCACATTTAAAACAATTATGTAATTCATCCATAATTGAATTTAACAGGTATTTTACCAGAAACCGTGAAATATACAAAAATTAATTAAAAAAATTAAGTGTAATTAATTAAAAGTGTAATTAATTAAAAATTAAGTTTTACAAATATTAAGAGAGACAAACAGACTGAAGAACAGCGATAAGCGATGAAAGAAGAAACTGACAAAATTGAAGTACACAATTAATTATACGAGGAAAAGCTCTTAAAGCTTTTAAAATTAAAAACTAAATTACTTCCAGTACAACAAACTTCGCGAGTTTTAAGCAACCGAAAGATGATATTCTTCAAGCGATGTACCCGAAAAAGGTGGCGGTCGCGACGGACGCGAGAGCAAAAATCAGAGAGCATCGAATTGGTAGCATCGTGGTGGTAGCCTGGGTGCCACGAAAGATGAAATTTCGTAGAACAACTCCGGCGATGGCAGGCCTCTTGATAAATTAGAAACGCCCGAACGTCTTGGGAGCCGGTCGCGAGTATCAAGGTACTACTAATTAATCAATTGGTGAGATGGTGCCTAAACAATGAGAGTCTGCGCGAGAATGGGAGACTCCCTCAGACGGTGTAATCAGGCGGTTTATGTTGTTGGTACACGAAGTGTGCGACTGAATTCCGCTCGATTTCAGGCCAGTATTTATTCCGCATCGTGTGTCTCGTGTCTTTCCCCACCTACTCGTACTCGTCCACGCCTCGTGGTGTTATCTGGCTCCGGGTATTGTTCGACGATTCGACGTTTCCGCCTTTTGCACATATTTCCCCCGCGGTTCTCTTTTTCCCTTTTCTCTCCGCTTATTATTATTATTATGCAGTACAAAGGGCACGTGAGCGCCCGCGAGTTAGCCATCGCGCTCGATAGGCATCGTCTATCGGCATTATCATTAACACGACTCGGGATCGATACGAGCCACGTCTGGCCAGGAACTTCCTGGACGACCTGAAACGCGACAGACTCGCGGAAAAAATGAAACGCGGGAAAATCATACGCGAAAAAAACGCCCCGCAATCTGTCTGTCTCTTTGCCTCTATGATGATAAACTTTCCGTCACTTTAAAGCAATCAAAGTTAACAAGTAGTTAACAAGTGATCATGATCAGACGACCACTCGCAATTCAAAGGAATTTCTTCAAGCTGCCTGCATTCGCAAGAGACATTTTGCTGCGAGAACGTTGACAATAAAAAAAAATGCAACTTCACGATGTGACATATATATCAAGAGATATGTTAGTTGTTTACTATTATACGAGCAATTGATGTATAAAAATATCGCAATTATTGTTATCAATGCCGGAAGCGATAGAAATTTCGTATCGCGGCAGAAATTTTAATGGAAAATATGACCTTATTGAAAAATGATAAAATGTAACTGTTCTCAATTTTGTTGTGTTACGAAATTCTTGTTACATTTGCAATTTCTTGTTGCATTTGTTAACTAAAAGAGCAATAAGTAAAAAATCCTGATATTGCAAAGATATTGCAAGGAACCTGGATCGATAAGATTCAGTTGATAAATATTCGTATACCACGTATAAACACTATAATATTAGCACATAGAAATTTTCCTTTTCGCACAGCACTCTCGGTATAAGTACTCAGTATAAAGTAGTCGAACCATTTATCTTATGTTATTATTGGCTTCCTCGTAAGAAAACCACGTCACGTTTCACAGGTATTACCGCGAGCCCCCATTTATATTGTATCCCTGACTCAGTTTTTCTGGCCATCATTCAGCCCCGTTGCATTAACTAAGGGCCGACGTTTATATCGGTTCCGCTAGGAATTTAAATATATTTAGATGCAAATTTTGCACCGTCTGAAAAACGCGGCTGAAAAACAAGCAATAGTCATGTATTCGATTTCATATCGCTCGATCGACCGGTTCGTTCAAGGCGTTCATGGCATCCGTGCTATCCTGCCGGCTCAACGGATTATTGATCGACAGTTTGTGCGATTGGGTCTGCAAAACTTATTGATTATCGTTGTTAATCGGTCGTCGTCTCTCCCCGTCTGAAAGTAGAATGTAAATTTTAACCAGTTAATCGCTACGGGTACATTACAGGTTTCCTCTTATCTTCGGTAAGACCTTGCGCGCCGACTGTGCGTTAGGTTTGCTCATGATGCTTATGACAATAAAAAGAATGTTGTTGCACGAGCATTGCGCCTCGAGATGTATGACAGAAAATTAATTTTTCATTGATTTATTAATTTCAAATAAATAAAAGAAAGCTTAATTAATGAGCAAATAATAGAGGATACATTTAAGCGAAATATTTTATTTTTATTTATTTGTTTATATAATATTTATTCTTTTGCTGTGCATCATACGAACATTTACGTTTAATTCTTGTTTATTAATATTATTAATAATTTATTTGTCATAAAAACAGAAAATTTATATGATGTAATTTATTTCGGATTCGCGTGAAGTTGACTTTGCGAGATAAAACTTTGGTTCTTTCATTGGAATTGCACTATGTAATTTTTTGAAAAAGTACTCGTATATAATAAAAATCTTTTGTTCTTTTTATCAAAGCTATTACTTTTTTGAAACGAGGTTAGAAAAATATATTTGATATGTCGTAATCAAATGTTTTCCTTTTCGATATTGCTTAAGACTGGTTCTTTACACGTGTTTCGTGTTTCGCATATCTAATCGAAACTACAAATTCCGGGGTTATATAACTTCGAGTTCTACAGCCGCTATATAGGTTGCTAATAATTAACAGTGTGAAAAACGTTGTTTGAGATAAACGTAACTTATTTATCTATGAATAGGGAAATGCGCGAAATTATGAGAAATTAGAAAACAGCAAGAGGAGATTAAAAAAAAGGAGACGATTTTCAATAAATGTCATTTTATTTTTAACTCGTCTGTCACTCATACTTCGGCATACGTTCTCATCTAATTAGCTGAGAAGATGTAAAGGAAAAACGGATAAAGATAGTTATCTGGCGTCTAAAGGTTTACATGATTGAAAATCGAAAATCGAAAATTCGAGACAATTAAGAGATGCCTTTCCGCTCGCTATTAATTGTGTTAATAATGTTTATCTACATTTGCTCGAGTTACGTAAATACGTATATACACGTGCGCTGTACAATGCACAATTTTCATAGTAGTCCCGATCACGTGTAATTCAATCTAGAATCTTCAGAGACGCCAATGACGAAAACAAGAGCGATTTTCGAGGGATTGAGTTATCCATTTGGTCACCGATCCTACAAGAAAACTTACATTCCTTTCAATTGCCACAGATACGTTATATATTTCCTAGTAAGAAAGATCGAGATCGCACTCGTTCTCGTTTAACGCTTTAACGTTTTAACGTCTTTACCGCGTTGCTGTACGTCTCTCGTTCGCTTGTATTTAATCGTTATCTCTTTCGCGAGATTGCACATGCAAAAGATCTTCTTCCTTTCTTTTTCTAAACAATTCCCTGAACTAGGGGTCTACTGGAGCACAAGACCGATTTTGCCGGGTGTCATACTGGGACAACGCCAATTATATAAATAATATTGGAGATTGCCATCGCCGATTCCGAATTTGAGGGGTTCTAGAAATTCCTTGTTATCCATAAGATCCAGCGCATTGAATACGTCAAAACCCAACTACAAACGAGGATTGCAAAATTATGTTACTTTTATGTTACGTTTAGATTAGAAAGAATTCTTACTGAAAAAGTATGGAAGAGGAAATGAACTTACGTCACGCGCAGATATTAAGGCATCCATCATTAGTTCCAGCCACGGCGTTGTGGTAGACACATTGTAGAAACTGTACGCGGCCTTGAGCGTCTTGTGTGTCTGATGATGCATAATGGAGCTCGGCAATGTATAGTAACTCACCATATCGGTAATTTTTCCCTCCTTTTCTACTACAAAACTGTTAATAATACCAGCTTGTGGCAGGAACCAATGTTCAAATTCTTCGACCGAGAATATCGGAGCGAGGTCAAATTTCTCCAGATACTGTAAAACAAATGTGAACATTGAAGATAAATGTTGCGATGATTAAAGGATTGTGAAAATACTTTCTTTATACTTACTTCTGTTAATATCTTGTGTGCTTGTGGTATATCTGTATAAACCAACTTTCTGAAACCTGGTACTTTTGTGGTCTCTGGCAGTTTATATAGCTTTAAAGTCCTCTGCATCGTCATGTTACGAGTGAGATGAGAGAACTTAATGTCAATTAACTTCTTTGGATTTAATGATCGATGCCAATACCTGATACATAATTATATCAATTAATTTACATTTTAATCGAGAGATGAATTTTTGTTTACTGACCTGCATGTCGCGATAGGTTTTGGTAAAACAACACCGGCAGTATACACAGCTTGAAAGATGCCTTTCAGATTCACTCTCCTTGTAATCTCACGTATCAATACAGGTGCCACTCTTTTTGATCGCAGTTTCTTATGCACACATAAAAAATTAATTTCCACCATCTTTTGAGAACTGAAAACATTTTTAAAACATTAGGAAATAGGAAAATCATACACACAAGCAAACAATACTTACTGACTGTAGACGCGCAGAGTGGCTGGAATAGCGGAAATAAAACCGACTAGACGTCCGCTCTTGCTCACTCGCACACCGCAATGCCATTCCTTGCACCAGCCAGGAGGTTGCAGTGCCCATTTTAGAAAATTGGGAGGATAATCAAATCTAAACATGGCATCATCATCTTCGACGTAATTTTCCGAGAGTAATGTGTACAGTTCTGATAAGACCAAAGGATCATCTAGATTCAAGGTATCCCATTGAAAATCAGCAGGTAGCGAGTATGGCTCTGCTCTAACAGATGTCTTATCAGGTTCAATTGGCTCATTGCGCACAATTTTTTCATCTAAAAAACCAGTAATATGAATTTAGAGATAAAAGGATATAATAAAATAAAATTCACAGTATAAATCAATTACTTACCCATTTTTGGTACAGGTTGTGTACTCCAAAATTGATAAGGCTTCTGCATTGCTTCCTCCTGAGTTTTGGCAGGCTTTTGTTGCAGATTAAATACCTCCATCGCCATCTGAATATCTTTTATGGAGATATTGCACGCGCTAGACATTTCCTTTTCCTCCTTGTTATTATTATGATTTTCACTAGTTGCATGCACCTCTTTCTTTTTTTTCCGAGCTTCTCTCTTTTTGGAGCTATGACAAAATAACAAATATTTTTTTGCAACACCTAATCTTCAACGTTAAATGTAACTAAAAGATACTAAATATTCAATATTTTATTATGTTGTATGAATAACAGAAATATAAACAAAATATATAAACAATAAAAAGTAAGAAAATACATAAAATTTAATCTTGTTCATTTATGCATATACAAAAGAAAAAAAAAAGAAACAATAATTGAAAAGCGCAAGGCTGCAGCTCCTTGTCATATTGATTAAGAGTATCAGTCAATGAAATGAATTACAGCCAAAAGATTACGACGCTAGAAGCTACTAGAAGTCAGAAGCGAGTGACGTGAAATGAGTGAAGAGATCACTCTGAATAGAAAATAAATCCTGATCGATTCGAGGACGGCCGCGTTCCGTGCTGCGCCGTGATCGTCGGGAGAAATTCGACAATTATGATCGTGGTGTGGATCACCGGGCATATTCATCAAACGAATATAGGTTAAGTGGCGAAACGCGAGGCTAGCCCCGCCGCGGTCGTGTCGCAAGTGAGGCCGCGTTTCTTCAGCGGCACGAGACGTTCGCCCGCGGCGTACCTCTTGTTTCGCGCGTCCTTCTCGTGGGCTTCATCCTTCTTGATTTCTCGCTCCGCGGCCTGACTCTTCTCCTCCATTTTAATATAGATTTTCGTCGCGCGTACAATGACGCTGCTGGAAAACGTATCCAGATGGAGGGACCATTTCCGCGCATGCGAGGTACACGCGTAGCAGATGCATCTCGTGCACGTATGGCGACATCTGTGCCCTTACATACGAAGTTAGTTATTTGATTTTCGATTGAAGGGTCTAAGAAATTGATTAAGATATCTTTTACACGTTATAAAAAAAATTAACGTCTATTATGTGCGCATGCGCTCTTTTCTTCTCTCTTGTTTGTTTGTTTTTGTTTTTTTTTTTTAAGAAAAACTGATCAAGTTTTTATCTAATTCGGGGCATAGTTTAAGCGTAGTAGCAATTTCTGGTAACATAGTGTCTATCATATCGCACGTCGGTTATGATATATGCTAAAATTTCTCGCGTACAAATCGACTATGAATTACAATTCCATCCTAAATTTAATACCGCAATTCATCCTACTGTACGAACTGTAATTCAACTCTGACGTTTTACGCTGCGTACGAGACACGTCGGCAAATGTTTGCTAATTACTTTCGTTATTAATTGATGGAGGCGTTTACGTATTTTCGAATATCGTTTCGCGCCGAGCGAATCGGTAGCGACTCGCGCATGCGCGGCATACTTCACGTTGTTTCGCGCCGAGAAGAATTGATGTGAATGTGAGATCGTCGCGTTATTCGTGATTTTTACTTAACAAAAATACGTTTCATAGTGATTTCTGACATAGAAAATATTGCGTATCGAGCGTTGTTACAACATGATAGAATCAATCAACTGCGATTGCAAATCCGTCGTTTGATTTCCGTTCGTGATTGATTTTCGACCGCGCGACATATTGTTTTTCTACCAAAGGGCGATCGAAATCGCATGATTCACGGCAATGCTCGCAAAGCCTGTCGAGTACAACGAACAGAGATGGCCATTCAGGTAGGACAGAGAATCCAAAAAATAATTCTATTTTAAATCTCTAAATTATGAAATGTATTCTGTCTGCCCCGTTTCCAACCTAAAAATTCATAAGATTCCACAGAATTTTACTTTTATGGAATCCATAATTTCTGAGCTCTTTTTTTTTAGATACAAAAGAACATTTTTTTAAAGTTTATAATAATTCGCAATAACATTGAAAGTTTTTAGATAGTATTTAATCACAAGATTTAACAAATACCAAATAAATATATTTCTCAGAAATATTAAGTCTTTAAATTAATTATTACACAAAATTAAATGAGATTGTACTGCCAAAATAATATTTTATTTTAATTCAGAATCTTATGGATTTACTTTCAGTCATTACCAGAGATGCCACAAGGTCTTGAAATCGATCATTTTATCATTATTTTATTGGAATGGTTCAAAAATCTTATAGTGTCTTTTATTTTAGGTTTGTGCTATCTTGATCTATCAACTTCTGATTATAATATAATAAGAGTAGTATGAACTCAATAATAAGAAAAAGATATATATTAAATATAGTATAAGAGTAAAATATATTAATAAATAATTAGTGAATATTAGACAAGTCCTATGACACATATTTACCATGTGTAATATAGGAGTATAAACTATATACATATAATTTATATTGATACAATTTAAAAGTCACCATAAAATTACTGCAATATCAAAAAATCACAAATTTATCAGGAAAAGTATATCAAATGACATCATTACAATTTTTCTTAAAATGACTTTACTTGATATTGACATTATTATGATTTTGTGTTCTATCTAAATCAATAAATAATGTTACATATTGCGGCAATGTGGTAATATAGTTGCAAGATTGCTGTGGAATAATACATTGCGTTAGTAGTGTAAATGTGCAATTTTTTTCTTTTTATATGAATTTTATGCGACTAATATTAAAAATCCATAAAAATAAGCATATCGATAATGTCGACAAAAATATCAGATAAATATTATTTTATTCATGAACAATATATTGCATCGATGTGTAGCATAACGCGACAGTTTCGTCAGGCGTCACTTCTGTGATCGTAATATGAAGTATTGAGCCAATATAGTACACCATATACTCAAAGTAATTGTGGTAAATTTGCGTCAAGTGATTTCTGTGCAATCGTAATATTATTTTTCAGATTTACACTAATTATTTACTACGCATGAGTTAATTAATATTGATGTACTCGTATAGTAATTAATATTTATGCATGTAATAATTGACAATGTTTATATATAACAATTGTGGCAGTATAATATATATGGCAGTGAAATATTCCACGTTGATCGCGATCATCGTTTTATAAATTAGAAACACGAAATAGTTGTATTGTCATTATATAATTATGTGCTTGCTTTAATTGAAATACATGGCAATAATTAGCAGTGATTGTAATACTATACATTAGCCATAATCGCTATTCAGTTATCCTAATTGGATACGAAGTAGCTACAGTTAACAGTATTACTTTTACACATTTCATTACATGTATGAATTAATTGAAAGACGTGGTAATAATTGGGAACATGAATATTATATAATGTTAATACGTGGCATTTAATAGTTGCAATTAATGCATAGTCGTCACATCTATAAAATTACATATCCAGGAATTAATCGATTTCTATTAATAGTAATTAATGACAATCGCGATAATCTGTATTGGTAGCAATTATTGTTTAAATGTTTTGTAGATTAAAAATAAGAAATAGGTGCGCTTGACATTGCGGTTTATAAAATTATTTGTACATAAATTAATTTGAAATACGTAATTTGACATATGAAATTAATAATAATTACGATAATCTATGTTGATTACGATTATTATTTAGTTATTCTATAGATTAGAAGTGCAAAATGAATAATATTATTATTACATTTATAAAATTATATATGTATCCAATTGATATGTACGACAGTAATGAATGATGATTGCAATATTCTGCGTTGATTAATTGTTTATATATTTATATGTATTTTTTGTAGGTAAGTAATGCAAAAAAAATTAATGTCGCAATTGTTATTTCTATAATATTATATGCATGAGTCAATTGAAAGACGCGATAATAATTGATAACTTTACTTATTCAGTATCAATTTATATATGTTTTATATAATATATAAACATGCAATTAATTTTACAACTGTTACATCTATAACATTTTATGTATGAATTAATTAATAATCTTTACATTGTGTAGTGTAGTCAATATATACATACCGCATAGGTAGTCCATTGATGTGTGGTTATTATACCTATATGCTTGTATGCATGAATTAATTGAAATATGCGACAGTAATTGACACTGGCCATAATATTTTCTATCAGCCACGATCACTGTTTCATCACAGATTAGAAATGAACTTAATCATAGAGATATAGTAACATTGTAGTTGTAATTGTAGTAGGTGTTGTAATTGTAAAGTTGTTATATTTAATGTATGAGATAGATTGAAATATTTGAAATCATTAGGAATTATAATATTAATTTAAATTAATATTAAACTAATATTAATAGTTATATAATTAACAATTATATAATTAATTTTATAATTGCAATTATCATTAGTTTTTTTTATATTTGAATTAATTTTAAATCAGAAATGAAAATATGCATAATCATGCAATATTGGCAGACAGTGCGTCTAATGGAAAATCTGTCGAGATAAATAAATAATATAAATCAACTTTTCATTTATTTCCATCGTCGTTTTTAAATAAGATGGTCGTTTTCTGATAAATAAATTGGTCATAAACCATGAATAATCCATACATATTGCATTATTATATTTCGCGCGATTTTATCGAGAAGTAGTGAAACTTTTTTATGTTTGCGCGTGCTTTTTGCATGTAATATATATTTTGCGTTGGTATCGAAAGTGATGCATTGATTAGCGAGTGAATTTCGCGATTTCCTGTAGAATTCACGAGACGCAGTAGACAACAGCGAATGAATAAACCGACCGATCCGTCGTGGCGAATCAATTAAAGCGAGTCACACTAATAAGCCGCTAGTGCGCGACATTCGAGTAAATTTGTGAAATTTAGTCATATCGATATTCAAAATCAAACTGTCCAAACGTTATTAGTCTCAAAATGAACAATAGTGCAATAACGCGAGCGATCGTTACAGCGTGTTAATTGGCGCGCGCATAATTAACCGCATTTTCTCGGTCACGTAATGGTATAGTTCAATTCCGGGTTGCGTCGAGGTCGACGATGTCAATGAGAGTAATGTTTGTATAATGTCTGCCGTATTGATCATGAGCGGATATTTTTTATTAATAATATATGATAATTAACTTTGTATGTAATACAATTTATGCATAATTTTTCATTTATAAATGACAATGCCAAAATACGACGCCCAAAATTATTTCTTTATTTTCCTACATAATTCTCTTTATTTCTCTTTAAAAAATATTTTAGTATGCTATTTATAAGATAAATTACGTGTAAATTGTGTAATTATGTATAAAATCTATCTATCATGTGTATATATATATATATATATATATATATATATATATATATATGGACGGGGTGTGTCAAATAACAATTAACATGCTGGATATCATTACAGCCACCAACCTCGAACATATCGAAGATGATACGTCGTGTACAAAAGGATTCATTGGTGTGCGTGATTGCAATTAAATGCGGTTTCCACTTGCATTCATATGACTTGATGGACTTGAGGCTAGAGCGCTTCAAGCAGAAATTAACGCCGATGGAAGAGCTGGTGGTGGGAGTTGTTGCGACGGGCTACGTTTTCGGTGAGTAAATTTATTCAGTTTATTCAATTTATTTTATTATTTGGGGAGCTGGTATTGTTCGATGAAATTGGGATATTTCGCAACCCCAAGAATTTAATCCGCTTTACAAAGCCACAAAACCTGTAAATCAAAATTAATAGAATGAAAGACTAAAATAAAAGTCTCTCGCATTTATTTAAATTTATCTGGGAATCTAAATAAAGCAGTCGCGCATTTAAAAAGAGGAATGTGACAAGTATAATTTTTTTTTATTTCATTACCAACAGTATTCTCTTACATCATGCCGAAACAATGTATAGTATCTATATCGTAATATATATATATATATATTTTTTTTTATATATGTAATTGTTAATAATTATAATAGCGTTAAAGAGTCTGTAATAGGCGAGTTTTGTAGATGTGTGAATAATTTTTGTCGATATTTCGAATTCGCTTCTGGTGCATCACTAACTGCGGTGTTACGCATTTACCGCAGCACTGAACAATTTGCGCCGAAAGTTTCGACGCAGCGAATTTTAAACGGTTACTTTGACTAATTATGCCCTTAATTGCAACAAACATTCCTGCTCGATATATTAATCGCCAGTCACACGCGATATAAAGTAATTTTATCCGTTCAATTTTCCACTGGATTAAATCAAATATATGCATTCCAAATATTTTGATGTCAAGAGGGAAATCAATTTAATTAAATTTTTTCGGTATCTTGGTATATTGCCTGTGCTTTATCAGTATACTCGCTAAATTAATTACTTTTCATCACACGATACGTTTATTTGGCTGCTTTTTTGTTTGTTTCTTTTTTTTTTTGTCTTTTGATTTTTCTGAAAGAAAGAGTGTCGAGTACGCGAGATAGATCGTCGTGATAGACTACGTGTTAGTGTGATTAGTAGTCGACTTTATTGCGTAGTGTCGTCTAGATTGTCGTTCTCGCCGGAAACGAATTCGGATCTATCGATTTTCTTCGAGTCTCTCCTTCGACCGTACTCTTTGTGCCTTTAGTTTCCTTCTACTTCGAGGCATAGCGACTACCGATACTACGACGAGAAAACAATTCCTTTTGCCATCACGGGGGACCCGATTAGTTCGGAGAGTCCCCGATTAATAACGTTTCGGACAGCGCGGAATGGCGCCAAGTTTTTCGACCGTTCTTTCTACGGGATCTCGTTCCTCCGAATCTCTCTCTCTCTCTCTCTCTCTCTCTCTCCTCCTCCTCCTCCTCCCCC